CACTAGTTGAACAGCAGTAAATCAAAAATTGTCAAATAAATTCGTAATACATAAATTCGAGAAAAAAAAACGCTTTCGACAAAAAACCAAAATAGAGATCTATCGACAAAGACTTCTGCCTAGCTTATGCTCTCCCTGGTTATTTCAGTTTCCGTTTTTAAAAGCGCTATATGTTGAGCCATCTTAGCTAGATTTGGCATGTGACATTTTTAGCGGTAATCATTGGTCTATTTTCTAGCGTTGCCATTCGGGGAGTTGTAATGAGGCTTTTTTTTATCGCCGTGTAAGAGAAATATATATATAGATTCCACTAATAGCTAGATATTTTGTAAGATTTTAGAAAATATAAATTTACTTATAATTGGCTAACCATACGAATTTTAGAATCATTCAGATATTACGTAAGTTTTCAAGGGGAAAAGAGGGATTTGTAATTCACTTATGTTGCAAAATGAGGGGGGGGGGGCGTTATGAGCTACGCTTACGTAAGACACTAAAATCCCCTTATTTTCAGTATTTTTTTTTAAATACTTAAAAAAATCAATAATTTAAAAAAACTTAATTACTTTAAAAAATTAATTAATTTAAAGAAATTAACTAATTAAAAAAAATTACGTTTGGAAAATTTTCAAATTGGAGGTAAAAATTATTACAAATTTGGGAGAAGAAAAAGTTAAAAAAAATGTTTTCCAGGAGTTAAAGAAATCAAGAGTTTTAACCACAGAAGAAATACGCAAAAGATTCCGAAAAAATATTCGATTAAAAAAAATTGTAAAAGAAATTAAAACAAATTTTTAATTTTTGTGTAATTTAAAGTAAAATCTTTTGTTTAAATTGAATCCTAAAATTAGCTAAGGATATAAGTGTAAGTTGAAGAAATGTAAGGCTAGCGACTTTTTCATTCGCTTATTTTTGCTGAGAAATGTCCAAGGGAGAGGGTTCAACATAATAAAAAAAAATTGTTTGCGAAGGATTTGATTGAACCTTTCACTAATTACAAATTTTTAAATGAAATATACTTTAACATTTAGAAGTTAGGGCGTGTATGTATTCGATTCACGTTTTAACTCAAAGGATACAAAGGCGGTGGTCAGGTTGTGGATTAAAGCTAATAGTAATCACACAAAATTTGTTCAATGGGAGAGAAATTGTTTTTTCTTTTTTTCTTCAGGTTATCAGTTTCTTTTTGTTCTCAGAAGCGTTCAAGGTTATAAATTTAAAGGAATTAAAACATAAAATAATAATAATATTTTTACGAGATTAGAACAGGATTAAATAATGTATTTTTAATATTAGAAAATACCACAGTTTAATACACAAGTTAATTTATGTGCAAGTCAGCGATTAATTCTATTTCTTTACTTTGAACTGAAGTTGTTAACTTCAGCTTTAAACAAAACCTTTGTTCAAGATAAGTTATTTAGATTTCCTAGCTTTAAAATAGTTGAAATTTGCACTAAAGCATTAAACTATATTTAAACCCCAAGTGTTAAGTAACATAATAGTAAAATAGGCTGTTTTTTCTCTCCTTTTATCTATGCTTATACCTTTTACTAAGAAGAGAGTACTTAAAAATTTGTCTATAGGTAGTAGAAAAAAATTATTTTCCCGCTTTATATTTCGACATTATTTACTAGATTGAATTGTGTCGCAAATATCTTTTACATTGAAAGTATGATAGAAATCTTATAACTTCTCACACGTGATTTTGAAGTTGTAGTAAGTACTGCGTGATTTATGGGCAATTGTAAAATTTTACTTCTCATAAAAGATTAAAAAAACCAGGCTTGTGGATAAAAAATTTCTTTTTTTAAAATACCATTTCCTTTAAATCATTGTAATCAGTTGTTTTCTTTAAATAACGTGTCGATAATTTTAGTTTGGAATTGTCATGTCTTAATGCAAATCAAACGGTGTTGAAAAAAATCAAAGAAATAAGTAAAATATTTTATTTTTCTGCAAAAAAAGTTACACATGTTATCAATGTAGAAATGAATAATTATTTTACTGAAAAATTATTCATTCTATGTTTTACAGTAATTATGGAATATTACATGTACCCTTTTTTGTAATAAAACTTTCATGGGTTACTTCAAATGTTGTAAACGCTTTTTGGAAGTCACTTCTCGCCTTTAGAACTAAATTTGTTACTTCTATGTAAGGTTCAAATTCTGATCATTTTTAAACAATTTTCATTTTTATTTTAACTTATTAAGAAGTATTTTTAAGAGTTTACAAAAACTTATTACGTCAATCGTTAAGATTGCTTCATGTTCTTTTTTGATAGCGCTTTTTTTTTTCTTTACCTATAACACAAAAAGCGCTCTGTCCTAAAGTCAATGAATTTGAATTTTGATAAATCCATTTCTTACATTATTGAGATCAATTTAATTGGAATTTTTGTCAAAATATTTATTTAAATTTTTTATGAATGCAATTGTAATGCTTTTTTTCAGAAATCTTCGAATAAAAACAGTCTTGTGACAAAATAATTGTTTTTGGAAAATGTTCCAAACAAACATTTTTCTAAAACAATTTAATTAATTTTTTTTAAAAATGCTCACTTAAATTAATTAAAGGTGTTTATTTACATATAAACAGTCTTGTTGCTAGAAAATTATATAGCTAATGGGTATTGTCAATTTTTAGAAGATGCTCCTTAAAAATTACGTTTTTTAATAAGAACATAACTGCGTAAAGTGACCCTCTTAATTTATAAATTTTCTTTTAAGAAAAAGAATATAATTGTTTTCATATTTGTTGTTTTTCATAGGGATTTTGCTATAGAGCAAAATTAACAGTAATATAGGGCGACTAAATATAAAAAGTGGCGATTAAATAATTTTCTGTTAATCGCCACACAGTCGCCACTCTTTTTAGCAGGAAATGCTCCCATGTGCTCCATAACACGTGCTTTCGACTTCTTGTATTTATTACACAGTAATGCTGCAATCATTCCGGGACGTTTAGTGTTCGTCCCATATTTCATCTTTTTCACTATTATAATCACAGAGTGAGAATTATTTAGTAAAAATTAAATTTTATGTTTGATAATAAACACTATTTTATGTTGCAGGTTTGGATCAAAAATTAAAATAAACTTTATTACTTGAAAACGTTATAAACAATACTTAATTTTTACATAAGCCTATTTCACGAAGGAAGATAGGAAATCTTTTTCATCTTAAAAATAAACTCAACCCTATTTCGAAAAGTGCTTCAAAAGAAATATTTTACACTAATAACATCAACAGTTTAATGGTCAGAATTTTCAATTTTTGAGAAAGTGGCCGCATGTTTTAAAAATGGCCACTGCTAAAAATGCTTTTACTAGCCACTGGCCAGGTAACAAAATTTCCTAATTTTTGTGGCCTGATTTGAATGTGGCCTGATATTTCACAAGATGTGTATGTAATAACCTTTTAAAAACACAGGCAAGCTCTTCAAATGATAACTCACAACACCATTATTTACAAAAGCAGTAAATCCAGTCAATAAACGAATAACAACGTAAAAGTAATTTAAACTTCAAAGTCTTCACTGTTTTACAGAAAAAGGAAATTGAAAATATTAAATTCATCTCCTCCTGGCCTCATCAGTCTCTCTTGTCAGATCTATTATTTTGCGACCCTCTTGAGCTCCTTCAAAGTTGCCAACCCACGGATATTTCTTCGGGCATTTCACGCAAGTCTGCATGTACCTTTGTTCCTGAAAGCCATCTTCCATGATCAACGTTGTTTCGCAATTTTTGGGAATGTTGCATGAGTTTTCTCTTTTCTCGCATGCCCAAGGTCTGAACGAGTTGAGTTGAGTGAGTTTGGTCGGCTCCCTCATCCAGGAAATAAGTTCTTGCATGGTCACGAACCACACATCCTTGTTCTTGGTTAGAATATCATCGATGAAGTTCAGTAGAACATTTGTCTTGTTACGATCGTTGAACCAATTGACATGGAAGTAAAGGCCCAATGGCGCTCTGAAAAACAAGAATTTTAGAACATTTTAGATGCTTTCTATAAATCAGATCTATTGAAATCGGATTTGAAAATGACCACAGTTATTTTAGGTAAATTGGTGAATTAAATCTTATACACTATTTGTATAACAAATCATTATATCCAAATAATGTATCCTTTACTAACACTGATGAAATGAAATAAATCATACAGTGATTCAATAATTTCTTACCCAAAGACGGTTCACAACAGAAGCATGAGCATTTTTTTATGATCCTCATTCATTTGATGCCTACTCAATCAATAAATTTTATCATTTTCACCTTTCATAACGAAGCCAAAACAGAATTGAGTGACTTTATCGTAATCTATAAGACGATTCTAGTTTTAAAATTAGTGTTGTCATAATGCTTAAGAAAGTACAGAATACATTAGATCAATACCTCACTTGCCTGGATAACAATGTCAGACGCATTAATATGTATGAATCAAAATTTGCTTCCTTTTTAATTAAACTTTTAAATGACTAATTAAGCATTAAATGTATCGATTGTAAAAATTACTTCACGAACATCATATCACTTACTTAAGATAGCAGTAAACAAGTTTTGCTCCTCTCGGTCGCTCTCAATTAGTAAATTATAGATAGAGACTAAGGCTCACGGAAGAGTGTTAAACTTAGACATTCATATGGGGCCTGTATAAAAATTTTAAAGACAATTTACAGCTTTCCCATAACTTCTGTTTTCAATAAGGTACGATCCTCTTTGTTTGGGGCCTTATTATACAAAAGTTAAATCAGTAACTATAGATCTGTGAATTGATTTTGCTTCTCCTATACTCCTTTCCCTGCAACTTTAATGCTTGTCAAGTTTTGGCAAGGCGTTTAACCTATTTGTGCCTAGCATCCTTTTTTTAAAAAAAGGTTATTTTTTTCAAAAAGGGAAAAAGTGGTAGCACAAGTGGTTTATTGATAGGATTAATTTTTGAGAAACAATGTATCTACCACAATATATTAATAAAATATAGTTTATAATTGCGTAAGAAGTTACATTACTTTTTAAAAGTGGTAGGTAACTGATAGAAATATCCATTTGGTAAAAGCAAATATGTGCTATCCCTTTTTTCAGATAGTTTTTTTTTATTTCCAAGGAACTGCACAAGTGCGCACACGTGAGCAGACCTAGTGCGTTCTCCAGAAGTGGTATCCACTCTTTCAGGACCACCACAATGGGTCAGATACCATTGGCCTTGTTAATTTGGAAGTCTAGTTTCTGCCACACTAGATAGCAACACCGAGACTCTTATTTGGATGCTAAAGTGCACTAGGAATTTAATTTTGCCGGAAATGCCAAGAGCCAATAAGGCACTCCAGGGATCTTTTACATGCCGCATAATCATACAACAACCGCTGAGGATTTTCTGCATCCCGAAAATCCGGTGTCTGCGCCGGGGATCGAACCCGCAGACTTGGGCTCAGATGGCCGACGACAAACCAACTGCGCCACCCAGCCACTTTTTTTCAGATAGTAGTTTTTCATATATCGCCCGCTTTTTTGTGCCTGGGCATAAATGGGTTAATGACCTTGAAAGTAATACGAAATTTCAATTTATTGTACTTTAAGGTCAATTTTAAGTTCAAGCCAAATGAACATATGCTGATTTCATTAGGTACTATTCGTAGTATGTTTTCACGGAAATATATAGCTTTCTGGTTGACTGTCTTCACAAATAGATTTTGACAGTCATAATCTACGAAAATAACCTATTTCGAAGATTTTTAAATGATCTTTGATTTTCGATGGAAAGGTCCACTTAAAGTATTTATGTCTTAATGGTTAGTGTGGAAGTAGTATAACTCTATATAATAGCCAGTGCCGTAGTTAACTCATTTCACAAAAAGGTTTTCTCAAATGTAAAAGGAATTTTTTTCTTCTAAGTTAAGAAAATTTTTAATTTTGACTTGATCTAAAAAAAAAAAATTTTTTTTGCTGCATAAATCTGAAGAAAAAAAATGTGTTTAATAGTTTTACATAAAGAACATTTGATGAAAATGTCTACAAAATCAAATATGTCAAGTATCCAACTTGTCTTAAAAAATTTTAATGTCTTTTTTTTAATAAAATAAATTAACTTGTTTTGTATCCAATATTGTAGTTACAATAGAATTGAAATAATAAATGATTTTTCTTTAAATTACTCAAACTTTACAAGAGATTAAAATTAATTTGATGATAAAAATTCTTTTTTTACAAACTTCAAAGCATCTTTAGTCAAGTAAAATTTGCAAGAAATAATTAAGGTAATGTAATAATTACCTGTTGGTTTTGTAATGGCGTTTGAAGTTATCCTTTAAAAATTGTTCCACGGATTCATCATCGTTTTCCTGAAAAACACACTGATCAGCTAGTGTGCACATACCTCCTGTTCCATCTTCACTGAAAAGAGTATTCAGAGGTATTTCCCACAGACCAGGGAAAGATCGCTTAGGACATGATCCTTGCATGCATCTATGTGGTATCTTGTAGTCCAGAGTATAGGGCCAGACTGGAGTATGTGCCATAGGAACTGATATCGATGAGTCATATACAAAATCGTAATCGTATGCCATACTCATCATGTCGTTTCCACCTGGGTGTAAGAACGGAGCTCTCATTCCCAGTAAGGAATCTCTGGAAATGTTGGCAAACAAGTGTAAAATCTCACGTTGTCCAACCATTTCTTCGACATAGTCTTCATATGAGGCAGTTGTCCACCAGTCTTCAGGATATCGGTTGCTGGAATAAAAATGAAAGAGTAAGTTGCATGATTAAAAATTCGCTTCAAAAATATGCAAATTGAATATAACAATCGACGTGTTTCAAGCTCGCAAAAATAGGCACTCACTTTCAAGACTTGCTAGGCGTGAGTGAAAGAAATGAAGCAAAAGTGATTTGAAGTATAAAACGTTTAGTTTCTACCGTAAACTAAAAAAATAAAGTTGAGAAACAAAACTAGGAAAAACCACAGTAGCCAAGTGAGAAAAATATAAGAAATGCGAAAAAAGATAAGGTTTTATTATTTTGTCCAGGTATTTTAAATGCCTTATTTCATCCAAAATTTCAAACATGATGTTGTAATTTTTCTACCACCTTTTTCATTTGTTGCGATATTGTAAAAAATAGGTGATAAAATTATAAATTATCATCATGTATAAAATTGTCATCTTTCAGGACTACTTACATTACAGAAACTCTCAAGTTAATTTTAAAAACATAAAATCAACAGTCAAGAAAACAACACCAGGTCTGCCTCAAGAAAGTATTCATTGGCCCATATTATTCATTTTATTCACTTCTGTGAATAGACAAAGCTATTTTATTCACTTCCTGTGGAGAAAGCAGCATCACTGCGTTTTATGCAGATAACACTAGAATCGACATGAAACCCGAAATTCCCAACATTGCTCTACAAGAATTCCAAGAAAAGCTGAATGAAATAGCGAAATGGTGCCTAAACTCGAAGGTTAAAGTTAATAAACAAAAATCGCAGTGTTTAGTTATTCAACATAAAGGAAACGCCACCCTACCAAAAAATCTAGTTGTTCTCTTTAACCAAACTTTCCTCAGTGTCAAAAGCGCAAAATAATTTGATCTGGCTATAAATAGTAGGTTCAAATAGAATCAATCAAATCAATCATCAATTAAACATAGGCACCCGGTCATAAACTGTAAATTCTCCATCAAAACTCTAACACGGAAAAAAGACTTGAGCGTTGCATTACACCGCAATGATCCCGCCATTTCTAGGAAAATTCAAAAGGTGAAAAAATCGAAATTTTCCGAAAAATAACACGAGCCAGATGGTTTTTCCCGAAATAAGAACATACATCGTGATCTTAACACTGATTATCATACTGCAAAGCTTAATTGCAAATTCTTTGAAAAATTTTGATGTAGTCAAGATCGTTTTCAAGGAGGGGAGAGAGAAAGGACAGCTGTCTTGTGGGGCCCGGAATCACTGAGAGCCCGAACAAAATATCTTGCAAAAATTATTGGGCACAGGAGATAGTGTTCGCCTTCCAATGCCGTTTCCCAGGTTCGAATCTCAGCAATGGCTAGTTAGCAATTGTTATGCCGATATGAATTCCGCCTCTGGCTCGCATTGACCGCAATGCTCACGTAAGACATCGTGAGCGGTACACGGATTATGGGTTAGAGTCCCCTAGTGGTCAAGCAAACCATGGGGAATTTTCGTGGTTTTCCACACCATAGAACGCAAATGCGGTTGAGTTCCATCAAAAAGTCCTCCACGAAGGCAAATTTATCCAATGCTTGATCTAGGAGTTCTCTAGTCTTCCGGATTGGGTTCAAAATTACAAGGCTACGGGGTTGAACAGTGGTAGCCGGAAATTCTATTTTTGGTTAGCGGTGCAACGACGGTTATAAAGTAAAAAAAAAAATAATAACAACAGCTTTGCAAATAGTTAATATTTTTAAAGAATACTGCTAGAGCATTTATTATTTATTTAAATAATTTACACGCATTAGTAAGCAAAATCCTTGTAAATCAACAATCAACTTCGATAAACAAGGATAATAATATCAAGGCATACGTTTACCACTTTTAAAGAAAAAATAAAATCTCCCATGAAAATCAGGAGATTAGATAGTTGTAGAATATGGACACAATAGAATAAGGCTGCTAGTTAATGTCAATAAAACAGATCAGTGGCAGCCCCAAGATGAGCATTATCACCCAATTATTTTTGTAGAAACAAAATATTTCTTCACGACAGATTTTTTAATAAAATAAAGTAATTGTAGCCTTTAAAAACTAAATGCTAAATAATAAAACTAAATGCTAAACTAGCTAAAATAAGAAAATTTAACTTCGAATATATATTTATAGATTACTTCCCTTCAATGATAGATATAATGTAACCACCTGTGTACTCTGTTACAAAGAACACGTTAAAACACTGTGGAATTAAACAAACTAAGTGTTATTCCGTTATTACGCGAAAACATCTACCGTTAATAGTGTAAAGTTTGTTATCTATATTAAAAATGGTTTCTAATTTGCATGTAGTCTGACAGAAAGAATATAAATAGAAAAACTATTCCAAACAGGTGAATTTTAAATGCTTTAACACTATTTTTCTTTCCCTAAATTGTATCTCTTTTAATATTTGTCAGCAACATTTTTAAATAGAGTAAATGATTTAAATGATTCTATTACTTTTGTCTGAAAGACCTGACACTGAAAGGCAAGCAAATCGTCCTCCAGTGGATCCCGGGACATTGCGGGATTTGGGGTAATGAAAAAGCTGATTTCTTGCCCACTAAAGTAACAACTATTGCCCAAGCATCTCGTTGCTCCATCTCTCTGCACTCATTTAAATTGCTGGTCCTAAAGCAATTCCGGAACATGCTCTCAGAGAATTTCCGTAAAAGCAATATACATAAAACCTGGTTCAACCATATTTTAACTATCCCAAATCAGCCTAGGTTTAAGGCAGTTGCTCTCTTTAGACTTGTAACGGGCCATGACTGTCTGGCCAAACACTTTTTTAGTATAAACATTCTTGACTGTCCTAAATGCAAGCTCTGTTGTCTTGGGGAGGACATGGACCTGCCCCACATTTCCTTCTGTCCTGCGCTCATCTCCACTACTGTGTATGGACGCTGATGGGAGGCAAGGGCCCGTAGGGGTAAGCATGTCACTGTGCATTCTATTCTATTTATCTCTTTTTGCCTTGTTTTTCTTGTTATTTTATTCTTTTTGTTCTTTTAAATTGGCCTGAAATTGGAAATATAAAAAAAACTTTTCAATGGAAGCCCAGATAGCCTGGTTTGTAAGACGTTGGGCTCGTGTTCGTGAGAACCCGGTTGAAGAATCCCTGCGTATTAAATGGTGACTGGTGCACGATAAATCTATTAGGGTCACAATTAAGGCTCTCCAAGTTCCTATAAAAAATCAATACCTTTGGGGTACTGATTGATCGTTCTCTAGTTCAGGTCAAAATTACGATCTCTTGGTGAATAAATGGAGTATGATTTGGCCCTCATTGTTAAACAAGCTGTGATGTGTGTATGGCTGTAGTCGCATTCTTGGCCATAGATGGCGCCACTGAAAAAACAAGACATACACCATCCGCCTTAAAAATTTGCTTGGTTTCCCGCAGTATTGCTGATTGGCAAGTAGCATAAGTAACAACAAATTTTCAATGTAATTATGTATTTCGTTTACTGGGTCTTTCATAAGGCGTACAGAACCTCATCTAATCGAGTCATGGAACAATTCTCCTCCATATTTATATTTAAAAAAAAAAACTTAGTAAATGATCATTCCATTATGTATAATTCATACATTTTAGAAAATTTAACAAAACTCACCTGATGGAATGTATTGCAACTTCGTGGCCAGCTGCATAAAATTTCTGCAAATGGAAGTGACTGGTGTATTCATGACTAACAAAGAAAGTGCCTTTTATGGGACATCCGTTGGGGTTTGTTCTGTTTTTCTTTAGTAGTTTACTGTAAGGGTCGAAATTGAGAGCATTCACTGCTCCATCAAAGGACATCAGAATCATTTGCGGTGTCTCTGAACGCTCGAGGCCGCCTGGAATTCGAGTGCCATCGGAGCTGCAATAGCACTCTGGTAGCACACATGCAGCTGGATCACATTCGCCTGCTGCTAATGGATCAGGAGGTGGGGGCTCGGTAGCATCCGCTATTATAAAAGATTACTAAGTATATATCGGTGATTCAAACTAAATTTACATAAGACAATTTGAAAACAAAGCAAACTTTAATATGATATGATGAAGGCCAGTATTATAAAGGCTGATCTTTCCCCTTCAACTTAAGCTTTAAAATCATAATGACAGACAAAAGAAAAATATGTAATTGAATTACTAGGAGAGTGCCATCTGGTGGCATTCCGCGACAGTAATGTTGATAAACTATGCTATTGAAATGTAATTAGGTACATGTTAAAAGCGAAGCATTTAAATTAAAATCTATTTCTCTTTTAAAATTATAATTTTAACCTTCTGTGACAAAAATCAAAAATATACTTGTAAAACTTTTAAAAAAAAATTCTTTTATTTCATTGCTTATATGAAGAAAAGGTCTATATGCTAAGGTATATTAAGATATACTACAAAAAATTTGATTAAGATAAACATTGAAATTTTTGTTTTATTTTATAACCGTTATTGAACAACCGACCCAATGAACATTAAAATTGAAATAAAAAAAATGCTATAAAAGTTCGAAATAATGATTAATAAGCTTTTGGTCAAATTTATAAATATTGCCTACATTAGCCTCCTTATCTCCCCTACAAAGTAAGATTAAACAAAAAGAAAAGGTTTCGAACCAACTTTGTAGCGTGCTGTAAAAGTTCAGACAACATTGAAAATATGAGTTAATAAATATTTTAAGAAAAGTTCTGGAGGAAAAAAAAACCGTATTAAAATTACGATTTTTATTGAACTAGTTATTGGACTTCTGTATTGTTGTATAGCTTAGTGCAGAGGTTCCCAATTATTTTGGACTACGAAACTTTGTATGATCGAGTTTCTTTTGATGCATTATATATATATATAT